CTTAAACTTTATTGCTGAAACTATTTTGGAATCCCAAATAAAAATCAATGTGTGTGTTTTTCTAGGTTCTACTGTCCAAATGTTGTTGTTTTTGGAAAATGTCATTAAGTCCTAATTGGGGGTATTAGCTGTTCTCTACTTTGTGGCTTATAATTTGGGGCATCTCAGCTATTGTATAATTTGTAATTAAATTTATTGATAAATATATTGTCTCATTTAATTTGATAACGTAATTGTCCCTGATCGGTGAGCCAATCAATGTTGGATGTCACTCATTTTCTTTGACTCATACATTGTTTCCTTGGAGCTAGTCAGAAAACAGTCAAATAACCTTCCAGGGACTGCACAATATATGGAATGATTCATCGACTTGCGTGTCATCCTTGCAAAGGGACCAGGCTAATCTCCATATGGTTCCAACTTTAGTATATGTGCTGCTGACATGATCCAAGCACAAAACCCTTCTTTCACACATGGATACTGAAGAGACATGAATGGGGCATTGCTCGCTCAACTCCAACTAACCTACTTTAAATTCAGAGAAGTCTCTTGAATGCCTTCCTTGTGAGGCAGAATTTGAAAATATTTTGAAAACTGAAGGTAGACATGCAAGTAGCTTGACAGGTTTTCATTATTACTGAAATCAGATCACTCGAGGAACCAACAGTAAGCTGACACCCACTACTCCATAGAAGCACAATATGGGACCGTCTACAACCTAAGAAAATGTACTACACAGGATACAAAGGGTCTTTGGGGTACATATTTGGTAGCAAATAAGAAAAGAAACTCTGTTCTCTTTCTTCAATATTATTTCAACTTCTCTGACACTTTAGAACAACCCCAACTAAATATCTGCTAGGAGAAAAGACAAACAAGGGCCTCAAAGGATAACCCACTGTGAAGATCTAGGCTAAGACATGGGCTCCAAATAAGGCTTGGAGTGTGGGGGGAAGGGTCCCTCTACTTACTATGTATGTGGCTAAAGCTAGGAATCCCAGCTGCCAAAAAAGACAGCTGGTGCTTTGGGAACAATGGCTGAGAACTCGAGCATATATATGGTAACTTAAAAAAAGTGTAACTCTGAAGTCTACATACGGATCACCATGAAGAGTGAGGGATCAGCATAAGTTAGGGTATCCTGGTGGCAAAGGGCAATCATTAAAGAACTACAGGACTAGTTTCAACAGTAACACTGAAGCAACAGAATCAACAGGAGGAAGAGAATGATCAGAATATGTCCCTTTTCCCCTCTTTGTCAGACTTGTGAAAGTGCATTGTTTTCCTTGGACTTAGAGAACCCCTTAGGTTCTTGGAAAATTCAAGGAGGTGAGAATAGGAGATAGCTCCCAGTGAAAAGTACAAGATTCTCTGCCAAATTGTACATTTCAAGTCCCAAATAACTAATTAGAAAAATCAAAGATGTGACAAATTTTACCACATGCACAAAAGTTATACTTGGAATGAAATGCATAATTTTGGAATCCCTAAAGATAAATGTCTTTAAAATCCTGAGAAAAAGAATCCTGTACCCATTGCTACTTCTGACTAGTCTAGCCTTTTGCTTGGCTTCTGGCTGATGAAATAGACTAATTCATTACTTTTCCCAAACTAGCTGAACCAAATTATGAAATCTCACCAGATGTATAAGATGTAATAGTTATAATTACTTTAAACTTCAATTTAGCATTTTAATGCAAACACTTACCTGTAACAACCACTAGCAAGAGCATATTCTTCTGCAGTCCTTCCGAAGACATCTTCACAATAGGCATCAATACCTTGCTCAAGAAGAAGCCTGACTATATTTGTTGCTCTATAGTTTACAGCAAACATGAGGGCTGTTCTAAAAGAGCAGAGAGAAAACTTCACCCATAGAAACTTTAATACATTTATTTAAACAGCTCATTTGACATACTTTACCAATTGAATGACATGCTGGTCTGTGTAGACTTGACCACTTAC